TATGTATATTATATATATATATATGTATATATATATATACACATGTAACGAGTTCAACTTGTAAATTTTTACAAGTGAGTATTTTTTGAATTGAAATCTCAATTCTTAAATTCATACGGGATGCTGGATTTGCATATCTCACATATGAGAAACCCCGGATACCCCCCTAACTAATTTTAAAATATTGCGAAAAAAGCTCTTCGGCCAGAAGTTGAACCTAGAATCTCCGGCTTTCCGTGCCATCGCATTCCCTGTTAGGCCACCGAGGCACTTGGAGTTAGTCTCGCAATATTCATACATATATCGAAGATGGTCTGATACTGTTGTTAACGCTAATTTCCAGCCAGCCAATTGGGATTTCAATTAAAAAAATACTCACTTGTAAAAATTTTCAAGTTGAACTCGTTACATGTATACGTGTATATATATATATATATATATATATATATATATATATGTGTGTGTGTGTGTGTGTGTATATATATGTGTATATACAGGGTGTCACAGAATTGCCGTACAATCTCTCGTAGGCAGGTAGAAGGAATAAAACTGAGTCGAAAAGTCCTGAACCATTTTTTCCTATTATTTATAATAAAGGAGTAAATTATTGATTAAATCAGGCCAATCAGCGCCGACCTTTAGCCAGGCGCACGTCAGTGAGCCACGCGCCTGGTGTGTGTGAGCACTCCGCGCAGTTCACTGATGTGCGCCTGGCTAAAGGTCGGCGCTGATTGGCCTGATTTACTCAATAATTACTCCTTTATTATAAATAATAAAAAAAATGGTTCAGGATTTTTCGACTCAGTTTTATTTCTTCTACCTGCCTACAAGAGATTGTACGGCAATTCTGGGACACCCTGTATATATATATACACGTACAGTTTCCGCTTAACATCCTGGGAACGGCTCGTAAGGCCTTATATATTTCATGGTTTTAAAATATTATTTTGTTGGAATAAATTATTTCAAACATTTTAATTGTTTCCGTCAAATAACTTGATTTATTTTAACGTAACAATATAATTTTCATTCAACAAAATTGTTTGAGATAAAATTATGTTGTTTGAATGCAACAAATATGAGTTAAACAAATCGGATTATTAAATTTAAAGAAACTGTTCTCTCTGTGTAGTAAAGCGCAGCTTTTAACCTCTAAGTCCAATAAAATCTGTTGCAAAATATTATCTTTGAGTCGCGCGCATTTTTTCATTTCTCTAAATTTCACTTCAGTAATAATAAAATATTTTATATAGCAATTTTGCATTTTTTATATCTTTTTAAAGCACATATAATTTTATATTTTTGAATTCGCTTTCTCTATTGTTTCCACCAAACAATTTGATTTCCAATAAGTAATTCGATTATCAGAAAGATTGATACCAAAAAAATCAATTTTAACTAAAACTTTTATTTTTTTAACTAAGAAATGAATAAGGTCATACGAGCCACTTTGCAGAATGTTATGCTGAAATGTTCTCTTATATATATGTATACATATATGTCACATGTAAATTTTTTACACGTGTTTTTTGAATTGGAATTTCAATTCTTAAAATCATACAGTATGCTATACTTGCATCTCATGTATGAAAGACCCCGAATACCTCTCGAACTAATTTTAAAATATTGCAAAAAAATACTCCTCAGCCAGGAGTCGAACCTGGAATCTCCGGCCTTCCGGGCCGTTTTATTTTTTTTTCACTGTTTTCTTGATGCTGTTGTCAAAGATTACTATTAAATAGAAAAAATTAATATTAAAAGTAATATTAATATTAAAATTTTAATATCTATATTAAAACTTTTAATATTAAAAATGAATTTTGTATAAAATTTTTACTATTAAATAAAATTTAAATATTTAAAGCATTTTACAATTTACTCTTGAATAAAACTTAGTAATAAATACAATTTGTTCAACAATAAGTGTATGAAACAATACAACTGTGAATATGTATTTAGGTTAGTTAAAATATACATATATCTATCTAAAAGAGAAAAAAAAGTATGTATAGGTATTCCGGAATATGTATAAAAAAAATATAAATAAAAGAATTAAAACAAAGTTTTTGCACTAAAAAATAATTAAAAAATTAAAACAACTGAGAACACATTAAGAACATTTATATTTCATCTATTTTATGTACATCGTTTGAACTATGCATATTGGGATAAAGACAATCATGTCTTTTCTGACGACAACTATATTTCCTTTATATTTCCTTTTATTATTTTTTAATATAAGTTTAAGAGAATTTATTTAACACTAATTTTTTAATAATAAAAATATAATAGATAAAAATACGTTATTTATAAAGTGATTATTAAACCATTTGAACAGATATTGCCCAATATTAGACATCAATCTATTATTAAAGTAAGATGGTTTTGTAGCTTGTAATATATGAACGTGGACTGGAGAAATAGAAAAGACGCTAATTTTTTATGTTTCCGCTGTGTCTTTACTGCCTGTTTGTTACATGGGTAAACTCCGGGCCTTACCCTAGTGTAACACATACACATGTCTATAAACGTCATCGTCAAGCGGCGATCGATGCCACAAGATACTATAGTTGGCGCTGGTGTTGCTGGAAAATAAGCTCGTCCACGAAAGCTCCGTCGATTACAGTTGTTCAGCATTCGTCGGCGATCGCGGCTAAAGCCGACGTCGCATGCGCAGATTCGATTTCAGTGCGTAGGAGGTTATAGAAATTGTACTAAAAGGACGTCGCTAAAGTACTGCTATGTGAATTTCATTGTGATCTACGAGGACAAGATATCGTTTCCTTGATTACATCTTTTTCCCTTTCCATCATTCCGCTTTCTTCTTTTATTCTTTCGCATTTACTTAGTTATTCATTCTTGACAGGGTGCCGTGACGAAAGTGGCGCGGTAGACGCATATTGTGAAGATAAATGTATATTGTGAACAGTAATGTGACATAGTGTATTTTAGTAATGTGAAAAAGTTAAAAAGATTAGTAGCAGAATAGAAAAACAAGGAACATAAAAAAGTAAAAGATGTGAATAAAGAGAATATACAGCAGAAAAAAATAGTCCAGATTGGATACACATTTGCATTTTCTACATGAAAGGTACTGTTCACATACCGGTGTATATCAAAGAAATAGGAGAAAAGGTTGAGCTCTTTCTGTGTAATTACTCCGATCGAATTTCTGTGTTGAAATTGAACTGTTTATGATTTAACAGTGCTAAAGAACTTTAAAATAGAAAACACAAAATAAAAAACATCGCAAAAAGTATTTGAAGGTTTAAAGCTTTTACAAGCAAATCTTTTCAAATAAATGCTTAAGCAAAAATTATTTTATTCTTATACCTGTAAATTCTTAGAAGTTCTTCTTGATTGCAATGAAAAAGAGCATTCAGGTATCTGGGATAATAAAACTTGAAATTAATTTGTGAGTTTTATCAATTTTATTACTTATAAATTTGTTGGTTTTTATTATATTTTTATATTATGACTATTTTTATTATTTAATATATAATTGTGTATAATTAAAATGTAAAGGTTATTTTTTAAGGAAATAGTAGTTCTACATGAAAAAGTGTTTTTCAAATCTTAAGAAAAAAGCTATACACTGAAAGCTGCTTATGAAAGACATTTTCTGTATATAAAACAGAAGTAAAAAATCACAAAGCAATTAAATGTTTTTTAGTAGAGTTAATACTTCATAGGAAACTTCTATTTCGTAACCAGTACGTTTTATCATATATGTATATTTTTATAATTATACTCTTCTAACAAATTTTTTTGGATATACTGATAACGACAAATCGATATGACATGCGCGCGCGCGCGCGCGCGTGCGTGCGTGTACGTGTGTGTGTGTGTGTATGAGAAAGAGAGAGAGAGAGAGAGAGAGAGAGAGAGAGAGAGAGAGAGAGAGAGAGANATTTATTAGTAGAAAAATATATACATTTAATATATCGTTTAATATAAAGATTAATCACTACGTATATATATATATATATATATATATGAGTGTCCGTGAAATTTTGATACAGCCGAAGTATGGAGAGAGAGAGAGAGAGAGAGAGAGAGAGAGAGAGAGAGAGAGAGAGAGAGAGAGAGAGAATAATATTCAGTTGTAATATTCAAAGTCGTAAAATTATGTGTATGTACATACATTCTTAAACTTGTGTTTTCTTTAAATACATAACAAAGTATATATCATAATATATGAATATATCATTTTTTCATAATTAGATCACACTTTACATTATGTAAAATATATATAGTTTTATTTAATTTTTTTTTTAATTTTTGAAGGACATAAATGTGTCTCAAGATTATATGAAGTACATATTTTAAATTTTGAACTCAATTAAATCTCTAAGTCTATCATGAACAGTTATTACTTTTATTAACCATTTTGTTTTTCTTTAAAACAGTTTTGCTTGTCAATAACATAATATCTGTTATTAATCTATTAATATAACAATGTGTAGATAATTTTGTGTCTTGATAAAGATTTAAAAGATTTAACGCTCGTGAAATTGTCAACAGAAATATGTAAGGCCGATACGAGCCATTCGCAGGATGTTTGTGCGGAAACTAAGCGTGTACATATATATATATATATATACATGTAACGAACTATACTTATAAATTTTTACAAGTATTTTTTGAATTGATTTGTGTCTTGATATTTGTAAGATGTACTCTTACAATGTAAGCATATATTTTGCTGTTTTGTTTTTCATACTAAATAAAACTTAATAAACATTAGATAAAGTAAAAAGCGAAAGCAAAAAAAATATAGAAATCTGTGATAAAGCAAAGTAGTTGCTTTATATAATATGCTAAAAACTTTTAATGAAAATCGATTAATATAACAAAATAGATAGTGTTTGTCTAGTTTGTTTATAACAAAATCGAGAAAAAATTGCGTCACATTGTCTCAAAAGCTGTTAATTCTACAGAAAGATTAGAAAACAATTAGAAAACAAATAGATAAAACGTAATATTTAATTAACACCTTTTTGTAATCTAGTATATTGTGAAAATTTCGCATGTATTAAATATTTAAGTTATTTTAATATTTAAGATATTTAAGTAAAACAATGTATGTTCTATTTTTCTCACTATACATGCACAGTGTCTCTAAGATTGTGTGAAAAAACAAATTCTATATTTTATTCTCTAGATTTAATAAAAATTTAGTTGTTTTGAAAATATAATATGTACTTCATGTACATTATGTAATTGCAAAAGAACTTTTAAGAGTTTTATTTATCACCAAAGTTTTATGTTATTAAATAAATTTTATGTTATTAAATAACAAAACTTATTTGCTGGCAACCAAAAAGTTTTTAAAAAATTATTGTTTTATTACAATTTTTTGTAAGTATTTCTATAATATATATTATAGGAATCCTAATATAAAAATATATGGCATAAATAAAATAATATTATATTACTATAGTACTATATACAAATAATCTGTATTCTATCTTACTTTTCTTGATAATTACAACACTGTGGACGCGCGTGTGTGTGTATGCATACACAGGGTGTCCCATATGTTTTGGACCGGCTAAATTTTTCGGAAAGTAAAGTAAATTTTCCAGCATCAACATGTCCCAGTATCCGGACAATAACGCAAGTTTTATTTATTTTTATCCTAATTTTTAATATAATTAAACCCAAATATATTATTATCGTAAAGCATAAAAATTTATTAACATAAAGTGAAATAATGATTATATAACATTGAAAACTATTAATTATAAATTATCATTTTGTAACATGTGTCACATCTAACAGATTTTGAAGAATTTTTTAAGCTTTTGCTAAGAAATCTCGCGAATTTAAGAAAATAAATTATTTATGTTAAGAAAATATTTTACATATTTGTTATTTATATGTTACAATAATGCATTAATACAATAATACATACATTTAAATTTTAATAAAATGCTCAAACTTGCAAGAAAATTAATATTTTTTACTATATCAAATTATAAGTTCAACTACTCGTACAACAATTTCCTCAATGTACCAGTAGATGACTGCGTTGTGCTAGTTGCCAAGCGAGTTTGTATATAAAAATATTGAGCGTAGACAAGCATTTTTTATAATAAAAATAATTATTTTTGTCAAAAATAGAATTGTTTTGCATACTAAATAATAATAGTGTGCATTTCTTACAATCAAGTAAGTATATATACAATGAAATGTATAAAACTTTATACTTAACCTCAACATTTTCAGATTCATGTAATTAAATCAATTATATCTTTATTGTTTTTACAAATCAAGCATGGTAAAAAAACAATAAATATACACAAGATGACGTAAAGAAAGCTGTAGGAGCTGTGGAGAATGGAATGACTAGTAGGCAAGCGTCATATCAATATTAATACGAATAAGATATGTTTTTATGAATAAGTGTTTTCTAGTACCACAAATTTAATAAATTTTTAGGTATAACAGAAAACAATATTTTACATAAAAATATTAATACATTTCCTTGAATAATATATAGGAATTGATGTACATATTAGATGTCCGATTACTAGGATATCATAATTCGAATACTGGGACATGCACTTTTAGGTTGTTTGCTTACTGGGACATTTGCACATTTTCGTATTTTTATTAAAATAAATATATTTAACGTAATTCAAAAAGTTAATTGTTTCAGTTTTCAATAATAAGTGATTATATCAATTCGTAATAAAACAAAAATTGTTTAATTTTATAGTACTTATACATATTAAATTATATACTTTTACATATTAAATCAGTAGATATTTTGCCGCTATTCTTTAAGCGTCCGGATACTATGACATTTACCTTATATAGTTTTGAGAAAAATGTTTGAGACAAAAGTTGCAGAGTATAAAGTGATGTTAACAGTTTGACTTTGAGTAACTTCGTCAAAGTTAGATCAAAGTCACATCGATTTTTAAAAATAGAACTTTCTATTGTTTATCTTACGTTCTTGTAGTCAACATATCGAAGCATTCGAAACATTAGTGGACGGTTATTTTTTTAAAAAGAAAATTCTATTTAAAAAAGTCGATATGACTCTGATTTGACCTTGACGACGTTACGAAGTCAAACTGCTACCATTACTAAGTACGTCACTTTATACTCTGCAACTTTTGTCTTAAACATTTTTTTTTAAACTGCATATTTTTCTTTCCAAGAAATTTAGCCGGTCCGAAACAAAAGGGACACCCTGTATATATATTTTATGTCATCTATATGTTAGAAAGAAATAAATGCATTTCATATCATCGTAAAAACAAGGAAAACATACGAGTCATATTTGGTATATACGTGTGACATTTGGTATGATTGCAAGAAACCAATTTTTATGATTGCCAAAAAATTAACAAACATACGTAAACACTTATATTTATCCCTATAACTATCTTCTTGCGGAAATAAAAAAAAGTTATGTAATTAAATTTGTATTATATTTGTAAAAAGTTTTAGATAATGTTTTTAATTTTTGTGTTGCTACTCTTTTTTCTTTAGATTTTGTTAGATTTCAAATAACATATTATTAATTATCTTCTAATAAAAAACAATTACATTACTACTCATAATTACAATAACAAAACATGTTACTAAAATCTATTACAATAATATTAAGTCTCTATTTTTATGATTCTACTTATAACAAGGTATTATATCTAGTTTATATTAAGAAAAAAACTATTACTTCTTTGTATGTAACCATATGTATCATATAAAAAAAGTATGAAAGCAGCATTTGGTTCACACTTTTGAAATGATTTTTTGAACAAGTGATTAGAATCAAACAATTGTATTAATAAGTACTAACTTAAATAAGAGGCAAATTTGAAAAGAAACAATTTGATAACGTAACAATTTGTTAATGTACAATCTTTTAAAGGAGTTTGTTCGTGTAATAACCAAAATTTTAAGCACTTTTTAAGGAATTTTTTTATGAAAAATATAAAACGCAATCTTTTTAATTTTTTTATGTTATTATTTAAATTTTATAGTTTAAAAGTAAATTTTTTGTTATAATTTATCATTATTTTGATTATGCTTTTTGCAGTCAAAGATGGCGTCTTGAAAAAAGGCAGTGAAAGTGAATTTAGTTCACAGTCATCTGAAACAAAAAATTTAAAAAGATTCTTAATGCGTATGCTTGTCGCTATTGCAGGTAGCAGAATTGCTTATTTTTGACAAAAATTTTTTACTTTTCGATTACTAATAAGCAAAAAAATTGCTATTTTCTGCTTCAAAGTTCAATTAACCGCTATTTTGTTTCGTTTTTATAAAAATCAATTCTGCTACCTGCGATAGCGACAAGCATATAGATTAAGGCTGCATTCGTCGCTATTTGCGCTGTTACATCATTCTTTTTTTGTTTTTTATCTAATGAGCAATAAAGATAGAATGATGCAATAGCGCAGATAATATGCTTCCCGAACGCAGTCTAAGAATCTTGTTGAATTGTTTGTTTCAGATGACTGTGAGCTAAGTTTACCTTCATCGTCTTTTTCAAGGCGCTACTTTCGACTGCAAAAGTATAATAAATATATCAATAAATTATAATAAAAACAATTTATTTTTAAACTATAAGATTCGAATAATAACATATAAAAAGAGTAAAAAGAATGTGTTTTATATTCTTCATAAAAGAAATTTCTTAAAAATGCTTGAAATTTTGCCTGTTATGTACATGAGAAAACCTCCTTAATCTTTAGACAGCCGGCATTTTTTTACTAAAAATATGGTATTTTTTCTGCCATAGTTGTATATAAATTGAATTTATTATATTGCGTCGAGTATCCTAAGTTTTTCATCTGACTCCGATCGACGCCAGGCCGGCAGGAAAAAAAACGGTAGTGAAAAGTATCAAAGTTTCAACTTTTTAAAAATGGTATTCTTAGAGGTTTTTCATATCGCTAGTTACATTTTTTTTTAGAAGTCGAATTGCAAAAGTCTTTCAATAAAATAGCGTTATTATCAAGCCGATCATGTATAAATAAATTTTGTATCTCAGATTACAGTAAATTCGAAAGCTAAATTACACCATCCAACAACATATTTAGATTTTATAAATATTTTTTCTCACAAATTAAGTCAGACAAAAGAAAACTCTTTTCTAAGATATGGGATAATATTAGCGTCCCAATAGCGATGCCATTCGGCGGTCTATAGGTTAATTCTTTGAACAACTATACATATTAATAAAATGTGATAAAATCTCGATATTTTAATATATTTATAATTTGGTTTCAAACTTTGTTTTGTAAATTTGAATGATATTTTATTACATTGTATTATTAAGTGCAATACACTGCTTATAAATAACATATTTAACAAAATTTTTGGAAAAAACGTTTTACAAGAGTTTCTAAACATTTTTAAGAACCTTAATACATTCTTGCAATTATAACGTTAATAATAAGATAAACAAATAGTGAATAATAACAGTGAAAAGCAGTACTTTATTTTTTATTATTTTATCATTATATTATATTTTATTATTTATGTATTTCATCAAGTATAAAGACATTTTATATTAACATCCATCAAATTGTTACTGCTAAGTAGTCAAATTTTTGATCTATTAATTGTAATAATTATTAAGTTATAATAAGCGAGTATCTTAAATTGGAGCAATAATTAATTAAACAGTTAAAACATATATAGCAAAGTTTCTTACATAATATTTTTTTTGAAATTATTAATATTATTATTTTTGTGTGTTTATTACTATTATTATCTGTGTGTCTCTTATTAATATTATTGCTATTATTATTATTATCTTCTAGGAAAATGTAATATTTCCAACTTTTTAAACTGCAGTGTATGTATATCTTAAGGCACAGTCAAAATATAAAGCTCTCATTACACAATACGTAACAAATTGTTTCTATAAGTGTTTTGCGTCTCTGTACTGTATTTAGCTTTAGCACTTTTCAAAAGTTTACATGAAAATGATCTCAAAGATATCTTCCCAATTTTTCACGAGATTCTTTCGGAGTAAACACAAAGAAAACTCTCCTCATCATTTTTTACTATAAATGAAAGAAAAAACGTTCGAGAATTGCTCGTAGATTGTTCCTTCTTTTCTACGTTTGACGTGAAGATAAGCAGCGAGCATACCGAGAACAAGAACAACATTTATAAATCTTCAGCACAAGATTAAGACTGTCGTTCTCCGAGATGGCAGACGAAAAGGAAACACAGACGCTTTTGCAGAAGCTACTGTTTTACACAACCGCGTTCTTCATCCTCCTCGGCACCTTCAGCTTCTTCGCTTTCCTCTTCTTGGTTCCGTTTGTTATCGATCCAGCCTTCACTACTATTTTTATGCAATTTGACACTCGACCTGCAGAGTGCGTCACTATCACCGTTGAATCCAGAAGAGGTGAATAAATGATGTTCTTAATTTAATTATTTGTTCTCATTGTATATTGTGTGTACAAATTCTCTATTTCTCTCCTACACTGCTTTTTTCTTCGTGCATTATATATAATGTAATTTCAACATATTTTTTGTATTTCTTTGTTTATTTATGATTGTATTTTTGTATGTTTGTTGATACAAATGTTTATTATCAACACTTACATGCAATATAAATCTATCTATTTTTACATTCGTTCTTACAGGCGATTTTTGGCACTCGTACGGTACATATAGAGAAGACCGGGGCACATGCAAATGTGACATACAAATTATATTATTAAAAATAACAATCTGTACATCACATATTATGTAATATTGGGTACATTACATCATAGTCACATCCTTTAGCTTTAAGAAAAAATATATTATTTTTATATATCTTTATACAAACAAAGTTATTTAATGTTAAACACGATCGTGCAAAGGACCTCGCACTAATTTTATGTAAATTTGGAGTTTGGTTAAATATAAATAGAAATGCGTAATAAAAGATAGAGGGTCCCGTTTAAAACATTCCAGACGACCTTGTTCTGACCGCGGCGACATCACTCAAAATCAAATTGATAAAGCTAATGAATAGATGTTTTAAAACTATTATCTCAAACATTTTTTTATAAAACTTATAGTTTTTGAGATATGTTACCGTTTTGAAACTTTTTATATACTGTATATGATCGTATATAGTCCTATGTATAACATTTCACATATAATCACATGCGATTATTTAATGTTATCCAAGATATGAACTTATGTATAATACAATAATTTGTTATAATATATCTAGTGTAATATCTTTATTCTTAGCCTAACCTAGGATCAACGACATGGACGTGGTAGAAGACTGGTCCCGTGCGTGAGCGTGTGCGTGTGTGCTTGTGTGTGCGTGTGCGTGCGCGCGCGTGTATATGTGTGTCACAACAGAAAAAAGGACCCTACGGTCTGTCACTTCCATAGTATTTTCCGACTCCAAACTCACACACACACACGCACGGGACCAGTCTCTTACCACCTCCATGTCGTTGATCCTAGGTTAGGTTAGGTTAGGCTAAGAGTAGGGATATTACTAGATATATTATAACAAATTATTGTGTTATATATATGTTCATATCTTGGATAACATTAAATAATCACATGTGATTTATATGTGAAATGTTATACATAGGATTATATACAATCGTATACAGTATAGAAAAAGTTCCAAAACGGTAACATATCTCGAAAACTATAAGTTTTATAAAAAAATGTTTGTACACGTTACTAATACAATAGTAGCAACTTACAATATAAAGAAGAATATTTTCCAAGATTTATTATTAAGCAAGATAATAGCAGTTTGACAACTAACCCCGTGCCACAATGTGCCCCAGTTTCTCCTACCACAGTGTACCAAAGTTATTTGTATATAGAAGGTGTATAAAAAATACTGGTATTGCAAAACATCTTGAAAACTAGGCATTTTATAAAAAAGTATTTCAGATAAAAGTTGTAGGGTTTAAAAGGAAGTTTATGTATTTACTGATTATATTACTTGGGTAGCGCCACCAAGGTCACAATGATTTTTTTAAATAAAATTTCTTTACTTTGCAGATTCTTATAGCTTAATTCAAGAGCATTATCTATTATAATATTTTCATTTATTTCGAATGTTGCTTTATCTAAAAAAAACTATGTTGAATAGGAAGTAAGGTTTTTTCAATTCTCTGCATCATAAGCTCATAAAATTTGTTTTGATCAAAATCATCGTCGTAAAAAAGATACCGGCAGTACTTTAATATTCAACCTTCTGAATTCGAAACATACTTAATGACAATAAACTTTATTATAATGTTTTGGTTGCAAAACCATTATAATAAATACTTTCTATTTAACATAGTTTTTTTTAGATAAAGCAACATTTAAAATGAACCATAATGTTAATAGATAATGCTGATATCGGCAATACTCTAATATTCAACGTTCAAAATTCAAAAAATACTTAAAGAAACTAAACTTTATTATACTGTTTTGGACACTTCTTGAATTGAACTATAAGAATCTGCAATAAAAAAAATTCTATTAAAAAAATCGATGTGACCTTGACCTGAACTTGACAAAGCCATTCAAGGTCACACTAATATAATCAGTGAATAGATCCTTTAGAACCTTATAACTTTTAACTAAACCACTTTCGTAAAATGCCTAGTTTTCGAGACTTTTTATGGTACCGATACTTTTTCTACATCCTGTATATTATAATTTGTACTTATACAAAGTGTTCCATTTTACGTTAAACTCCTAAATATTTTAGTCGCAACGCATTAAAAAAAAATAAAATAAATAAATAAACCAAAACTGTTTTAGACAGAAGTTACAGTTGGCATTAAGGAAGAAAACTGATAACGTTATCAATTTAATTGTAGATAGCGTCACTTTTGAGACTTTATTATGGTGGTCAGTTTTTAAATTAAACGTTAGTTTGGTTTTTGAAACAAAGGTTGTAGCTGGTGAGATAAATACAATTTTTTCTTTTTTAAATTTGGATTATTTTTCAATAACAAGGGAGCATGCTGTAGCGATATTGCAAAAGTGACATAAAAGAAGTGTCGGTACCAATAGAAAAATCATATTTGAAATAGGTATTCTAAATGGTCAAATCTTGGAATTTTATGGATTTTGTCCCGACTTGGGCCGGACCATGTTTGGTTGTTTTATCGTAAACACAGAAATATTTCGAAAAAAATGTTTCAAACAAAAGTTGTAGGATTTGAAGAGAGCCGTCAGATGAGCTACTTAAATTTTAAGTCTAAAATTCACATTGAGCTCAATAAGGCTTAGGTTGATTTTTTTCTAAATGTAAATTTTTTTTACTTGTAAGTTTGTTTTATTGCAGGTTTGTATTCTTGTAAAAAAAAATAAGGAAATTTTGTTCCAGGTAATTTTTTGTTAAACGTTTTTTAACAGGCGTAAAATAGCGCTCAAAGTTCTTGGTGTGAAACACGTTCCGGCCAACAAAGGTAAGATCAGTGAACGATTCGACCAATGAAGGCAAGACCAGTGGACGATCCGACAAATATTATGTTAATTTTTAACTTTTGGCAACTGTCAAGTAAACAACGATTGAAGCAAAATCAGTTGCAACAATGTGCATAACAAAACTCTGAAGTTACCTCACAATTGCTATACATACAAATGGATAAATTGTCGTAATCAAAACAGAATTGCACAGGCGTAGTAAACGATTCAAAACGATCAGATGTGTAGCTTGCCTTATAAAATGCGTACTGGATCAATGAACAAAATATCGAAGCCTGAAACTGATAATAGACAAATGCTTGCAACTTAATATAGTTGTCGCGTTTCCATATCTCACAGTCTACTTTAAAACAGTCCGTAATATGGCGCACAAACAATTTGTACAGCCAGAAATAGAACACATCCAACGGCTGGATGAGTCTAGTTGTGCCTTCCAAGATAAGTATTTGCTTAACCGAAATTTTGGGAAACTTCCGCTGAACTGAATCAAACAAATTATTATCTCTGTTAGAACTTCAATAATCAACAAGAAGAAGACATTTTTTGACATTCGCAGCTTTTAACGTTGGCCAGAAAACATTTTGCAAGAAATCTTCCAAATCGTTCTTGCTCATCATTACAGAAGTACTGTGGCTTGAGCTAAAATATTTGCCGGAATGTTTGGACTACAGACATATTTAGTTAAAAAATGACCAGTGGCCGCCTGGCTTTTCAAATATAGCGGTGAGTGAAGTACACCAGACATACTAATGATGGGAAATATCATGTAGGTATGAATATAGGCATGCGTTGAGCCAACATTTTGGTAGATTTACTTATCGCTTTTTTGTGCGAGTGTTCTAAAGCTGTCCATTCATACTATGGTAAAACAATTCAAAGATTTCTTGCAAAATGATTTCTGGCCAACGTTAAAAGCTGCGAATGTCAAAAAATGTCTTCTGCTTGTTGATTACTGAAGTTCTAACAGAGATAATAATTTGTTTGATTCAGTTCAGCGGAAGTTTCCCAAAATTTCGGTTAAGCAAATACTTATCTTGGAAGGCACAAC